TCTGCTTCCCCATATCGTCACTTAGTTATCCAGCATAGTAGTACAAAAACATGTACACACAGAGTCTGGTCTGCTAAATTATATTGGTGGTCATGAAAAGAAAACCAGCTTGACAGCAGTTGGCCGGGTATATAAACAAGTTCAAATAGGCAGTAAGTAGTAATAGATATCTAACAGTAAGAAAGCACTGGTACTGGCAATTACCCAAAGCCTGGGACCGGCAGAGCCAGGAGGGAAAACCGTGGGGTTTAAAGCGAAACACAGGAAGTAAAGAAAAGGTAGAAGAGACGAAACCTGCTTAACATGCGCTGTTAAGAGACGGGAAGGGATTCAATTAAAGCAATTTGCTTATATTGATATGAGGCAGCCTCCTGAAACAAGGGCTAAAAAGGTTCATTTAAAGATGGAGACCGACGGAGTCAGCCTGTGGGGAGGAGGCTAGGAACATAACGGGAGCGCGGCCAGGGACAGCGTTTCCGTTAGCCAAAATAAGAAATAAGAAATCTCACTCCCATGGTGCTCTGCGATTTTACTGGAGTTGAACGATGCCGTCAACTGCACTAAAATGCTCCATCCCTTCGTATCGAGCAGGCAGACTCTCCCGATCGATGGGCCATCAACAACAAAACAAAAAAAAAGACGATGGAGAAAGGAGGTTAAAACAGAGAAGTTCGACTAGCACGAGCTAGTCGGATCCCTCACAGGCCTAATCTCTTTTAACTCGGCTGATGCTTCTGCGCAGCTTAAATAACCGCAAACTCGCATTGATGTTGGCTGGCGACCCGTCAAGCTAACTGCTGGTCGGTGAGGTGGTCGACCAGTGAGGAGCGTACCAGCCAGGCCGGGATCCCAGGGTGCGTCAAACACGAAGCCATGACCGGCCGACAACGAGGAGGGAGGAAAAAGAAATTCGCTTCCATGAGGCGGTTAGCCATGATGTGCATATCGACGCCGGCGTTCCCTGTTCATTTCGATGCCATCTTGGCCATATTTAAAAAGCTGAAGCTGCAGATTGCTGATGCTTCTGTTTGCTTCTGTGCTGCTTCTGTGCTGCTTCTGTGTTGCTGCTGCTGCTGTAACCGCGGGCCTTCAGCTGTTTCGTTTCACCGGTAGGCACCCGCGACGCCGCGCTGAGGTGTAATAGGGCGACGCTGCATCTCGCTCCCCGACGATATCAGGCCCTGCATCTGTCTGCGTTTCTTGTTGTCTGGCCGGGGGATCCGTGGCGTCTGGTTGAAGATTGCAGGGCTGCCGGTACCTCCACCACCACCGCCGCCAGAAGACGAGAACGACGGCCGGGAAGACTGCTCTAGACCTGGAGATGCCGCCAGCCAGCCATCGATTCTGTCTGCAGATGTCACTGCTGCTGCTGCTGATGTTGTAGTAGATGTTATAGTAGTTGTAGTAGTTGTAGTTGTAGCAGTTGTGGTTGTTGACGTCGAAACGTAGCAGCGACGCCGCCCCCACTTTCGCCCTGAGTAAGAAAGTAAATAACTAGAAAAATAAAATAAAAATAAAATAACAACATCCCACCAACAACGCAGGCAAACTCACCGACAACCTCGACATCGCCGGCTTCGTCCTTCGCACCGCACACTGCGCAACAGCTATCCGCACTGCTCAGCCGCTCACAGACGCTGCTCTGCTTCTATCGCTGCTGCAAGGCTCGCCCCCAACGACCTCCAGCAGCATCCGCCATCGCCGTCCGACCTCCCGCTGGCCACCCCGCCGTCACCTGTTCAGCAGCAACCCACCGCACACAGATAGGCATCACCAAGCATCATGTCCTGGCAAGGTATGTCTGCTGCCGGCTGCTTTCTCCGTCGTGTATGCGTGTAGAGACCTGCTAACTGTCGTCGGCAGCATACGTTGACAGCAGGTACCTGGGCCCCCGCGTCTCCCTGATCTATCTATATGATATATGATGCCAGATCGGCTAGAGCGTACATCTAACACCTTTGACTCTGCAGCCTTGTTGGCTCCGGCAACATCGACCAGGCCGCTATTTTCGACAAGGATGGCACCAGCGCATGGGCTACCTCTCCTGGTTTCAAAGTATGCTTTTTTCCGCACTGGCTTTGCTGTCTGCCTGTCTGTCTCGTTGCTTCTAGTCTGACTAACTCGACCCTAGGTGAGCCCCGAGGAGATGAAGGTTATAATAGATTCGTTCTCGGCCAGCGATAATATAAAGGATATACAGACCAACGGCTTCCACGTCGGCGGAGAGAAGTTCTTCACTCTCAGGGCCGATGACAGCAGAGTCTACGGCAAGCTTGTACGCATTCACCTCTTTAACTCCGAATTCCGTATACTTACAGCATCTTAGGGGAAAACCGGCATCGTCATCGTCAGGACTAAGATGGCCCTCCTCCTTGCACACTACCCAGAGACCGTCCAGCCGGGTGCCGCCACCAACACCGTAGAAGCCCTGGCAGAGTACCTCAAGGGGGTGGGCTACTAGAACAGGACACGGTTGTCCCTTTTGTTTTTTACCCCCACATACATCCTCCCAACACACCAACCAACAAACCTCTGGATCTGCCAGACAGCTTGATCCCTCTCTCATTCTCGTGAAGAAAAAGAAAAGGAGAAGACAGCCTGGTACAAATGTCTGCGGTTTTCCATTTCTTGCATATAATTTTGTTTTTCTTCTTTTGTATGAGATACCATCTTAAGGGATTCGTCATCAGGAAAAGAAAGAGAGAGAAAGCAAAACCACTGTACATTCCCTCGATGAATGGCATCTAGTTCCAACTAGCCCGTTTTATCATCTCGGTTCCATGTCAACTCCGCTATTCTTTTTTTTATATCTCGTCGAGAATGGTAGGTCCTCATGAATCAGTGGGTATTATCATGAACTGCTATAATACATATATTATATACAGTAGTATTATAAGAGGCCACCGTTACCGTGGCCGCTCACCTCTGTATATTAAAGACGGTTTGTCCATCCAAAGACGTGCCCGTCATTTTATACTGGCAGGTCCTGGTTTGGCCTTCTTCCTCCCATGGTACCCAGCCAGACCAGTGCCTGTCTCAGATACGGCCCTACCACCGGTATGCTGCCCACGAATCCGCCGAGAGTGACCAGGAAATCACCAAAGAGGACAAAGAGGCCGTATAGCTCGACACAGAAGCCTATCAGAGGCCAGCGGAAGAGGATAAGAAAGATACCCAGGGCGAACGTGACTGTTCCCGTGAGCTTTTGTCGGCGCGCGAAGAAGGCGAGCGTCTTTTGCGGTCCGAGTATGAGGGGTAGGCCGATCAAGAAGAGGATCTATTCTCGTTAGACACGAAAGGTCAAGGTAAGTAGACGAGAGGAATCCAGGAATCCCTACATTTCCCATAGCAAGTCTACGAAACCGTTAGCAAGCCGAGGATAGACAAAAAAGAAGAGACGAATAAACACCTACAGTGATCGATCAAAAAACATGAGAATCCCCAGGAAGAGGAATAGACTGCCTGTGATTGCATGCCCGTGTCAGGTCCCAACAGCCTTCAAGCGTATATACTTGGGGAGTCAATGCAAAGCTCTCTCACCTACCGCCAGAGCAGAACACCACCCCAACCTCTATACATCATCATCATCACAGTCAGTCGGTCAGTTACACCACACGCCCGTGCTTTTAACGCTTTTGTTCCGATACCAAACACTCACTCTGGGTATCTGTCAGCCACATGGACGGCATGGCTGCGGCTCTCCTGTCTGTCCCCTTGTAACGAAGTAGACAATCCTCAGCTCCAGCTCCAGATCTAGCTTCAGATCCAGCTCTCTTCCACCCCCAGGTATATATGTAGAGCTATCCCGGGCCGTATAACCGAACAGGCGATCGACGAGATGAATCGGCGGGCGCGGACTGATCAGACACCCTCTTAACTTAGTTGGCAGCGACGTAATGAATTATCCGCCGGTCGAGATCGAGCTGCACATGTACGTACTTAACTGATAGGCCTGGCGCTGGTATTATGGGATTCTATCAGCCGGGGGAACAAGCTCATGAAACGCCCAAACACTCCACCAGCGACACACCACCACGATCTTCCGGGAGGGATCAGGGAAGAGGAGGACTAAGGACTCCTCTCATGGCGCTCCACTTACCTTGCCGGCGAGAGATTGATATAACCTGCAGTCTTAATTATCCGCAGCTTGCTTGTAGCGGGAGGGAGAGGTTCCAGAGAGGCCAGATAGCTTGTTAACTAGTTAGTTAGCTGGCCAGGAGGAATCAAGTAAAGTGGTTGGCTGGGCCGGGATCGCAGCAGGGAACGACAGCTTGGGCGGAGCTCCAGTCCTAGCATCCCCTGAAGCAGCCTGGCATGAGATCCGTCGTAGCGAGGAGTCGTCTTTCGTCTTTTTAATCAATATCAAACGCCGATTTTCTGTCGAGCCGAAAGTCGATTTTATTTATTTTTCATTTTATTTATTATTTTATTATTTTATTTTTCTATTTTCTAGATCATCCCGCGCTAAACCCCTTTTGGCTGCTCGCACTTCGTTATTCTTCAACATCGAAAAAACTCGACAGGAACAACAGCGACGACAGCGAGATGTCAGCCTGAGATCAACGTCAAAAGAAGTGCTGCAGAGGGTGGACAGTCGACCTCGCAGCGAAAGAATGCAGCAAGTCCAAAAGCTAACCGCGTAATTCTATTCAAAGCTACCATACACACACTCACGCCATGGCCACAGTGTCTCCTTGACACTGTAACTGACCTCCCTTCTCTTCCATGGGAGGACGGTATCCGTCAATAATAAACTGTTCTCGGACAGGGCGCAGAGAAAAGCAGCCTGGCAGGAGGTGCACACTCGCTGTGGCCTCTCCAGGTCTGGTGGTCCCGATTAAGCCGGAGCGTTATTCTGAACTCGTCTCGAAAGGGGCTGCGTGGATGGATAGGGCTTGACTTTGTGGGCCGAACATGTATCTACACTGGCACCTGGGCGTGATACTCCCCTATCGCAGCGATTAAACTTGTTGTAGGAACACTCCCGTAGGTGAATTGCTTTATTTGAGGACGGTGTGAGCTCCTCGGGCTTCGAGGTAGTTCTCCGCGACTCCCGGGCCCAACGACCTAATCACGCCAAAGACCTCCTTGTTATGGTACCGTAGTCGCGTCTTCGGGTCGGTGTAGGGAGCCGGGAGGCCCGTAATGTCGCAGTATCGTTTCTGATGGCCGTGCAGGGACGGAGCGGCGTCGATGTTGGTGTATGTCACGGCTGGCCCCGAGGGGGCACCGGCTCGGAAGTTCTTCTCCAGCACCAGAGTCGACAGGCTCTGCGCGGCCTGGGCAATATTGGGCTGCTTGATGCTGCCTTGCTGCTGGTGTGCGTGGGCAGCGGCTGTCGAAGCTACCATGGGCGTCTGCGCTCCCTCTGCTGATCCCACGCCAGTCCCGACAGCCGAGTTGGTGCTCATGGCAAAGGGGGTAGAGCTGCCGCTGTTCGTCTGGCTGGCAACTGCAGAGGCCTCCCTCCGCGACGTCTCGGACAGGATCTGCTTGACGTTCTTGTTGCGGCGTGCGGATGGCTTCCAGTTGGGGTTGCGGAAGGGCTTTGGGAGGCGCGCGATGTCGAGCTCGTCGAGCAGTCTCTGGTGCGAGTCGTCCTGTACTGCAGCTGGGGGCGCCATCTCTGGTCACTTTTGAGGTATCCTCGTTGGTATTCTTGCAGCTGTTCCTGTCGATGTCGCTGTCGATGCCGTCGCTGTCGCTGTAGAAGTTGATGTCGCTAATAATGTTCGATGCCTGGGTTGATAGAAGATGCAAACAGAGCAAACTTGGCCAAAAGAGGCAACTTTTGTTTATCTTTCTACTTTATTTACTTCAACTTCAACTTCTTTGCATCTTTTTATAGATATTGATTTCATCGTACGAGAAAGAACAGAATTAGATGCTGGTTGGGTGCTATCTGGACGGCGGGATACCATGGTAAGAGATGCTCTCTTGTGTATCTACGGACTCCTGCTTAACTAGTTACCTGCTTCCAGGAGAGCCCACACGAGCACCAACAAAGCCAGCTGCTGGCGCGCATCATCACCAACGTTGTCAGTAGACAGACTCCCGTCTGGAGGATGCTGATGCTGATGCTGACGGCCCTTGCAGGAGAAGCTCAATGAAGCCATCACCGTGCTGAACAAGGGACTCCAGGTACTCCTCCTTGGTTGCCTGCGTTGCTCAAGGGGAAGCAGACGGCTGACAGCATGATAGGAGGTCAACGTACAGAACATGAACGTCGAGCTGGTCGCGCAGATGTTCAAGAATTACCAGTCGAACGTCCTGTTCCATCTTGAAGGTCTGTCTGGGTCTTTTTTTGCCTGATAGTCGCATGGCTGACGGGAGTACTATAGCTACCGAGAACCTGAAGGACCTCTCATAGACACGTATAGACGAGAAATGGCCATGTACATGAACTAATACCCATTAATGAAGTCACGTATTCTCCGGCTTTTAGCATGTTCTTTCATTAAATCGTCCTCTTAGTGCGCAGATGTGTAGATGTACATAGATGTAGATTCGTCCAACCAGCCAAAACTTCCGCCGGCCAACTTTCGGCCTCGCAAACTTCAAGAAAAACCGCTTCAACGGCCTCGAACAGCCACCAACAACCACCTCCCCAGCTCGCTGATACCACGATATCTCCCGTATCATCTCCTTGAATCCCTCCCGCGACCCCTGTGCCGGCTCGAAATCTGCTATGGGAGCTCTCCTGGGCTTCATCCGATAGCCAACTGCTCGCCACACCCGCTTCCTACGTACCTAGCTACCTAGCTACCTAAACCACAGCTTCTATCAGCTACACCAAGATGGTCATCACTTCATCACAACGCATCCAGAGCCCAGATAACAGCCTGACAGTTCAAGAACGGAGGGAAGCAAAGCTGGTGCCCTTCCTCTACAACATCGCTGAACAGCCACTCAGGAATAATCAGGAATTCCCCGCTGAACTGGACCTACGAGATGGCTACGAACGGAGCAGACACGACCCCGAGAACAGCGCAATTGTGATAGACAACGGTGGGATACCCTTGTATACCTCGTTCTTGTAGTTCATTGCCACTAACACGTATTATATCTGTAGGCTCGCACACGGTCAAGGCAGGCTGGTCGTTCGATGAGAGCCCGCGGCTAGTGATACCGCCCGTTGCGTCCAAGTACCGCGATCGCAAGCTGAACCGGGCCTGCCAGTTTGTTGGATACGATGCCTACACCGATGCGACCACCAGAGGCCAGATGCGGAATGCGTTTGATTCCGGGACGGGCGTAATAAGCAACTGGGACGTGGTCGAGGGTTTGCTGGACTACATCTTCATCAAGCTGGGGGTAGAAGGCGGAAACGGAGGAGTTGACCGTCCCATCGTGCTGACGGAGACGATAGCCAACTTGGGATATTCCAGGAAGAGTAATTAATACCTGTGCATTGTATTGGAAACGTTGAGAGGCTAACGGGTTGGTAGTGATGAACGAGATACTGTTCGAGTGCTATTCGGCACCGTCTGTGGCATACGGGATTGATGCGCTCTTCTCGTACAAATACAACTTTGGAGAAAACGGATTGGTGATCTCGTCTTCTCATTCATCTACGCATGTCATTCCCGTACTGGGATCAAAGGCGCTGCTGTCCAACTCGGCTCGGCTCAATTGGGGCGGTTACCATGGCTCCGACTACCTGATGAAGCTGCTCAAGCTTAAATACCCAACTTTCCCGTCCAAGATGACGGAGAGCCAGATACAATCGTTGGTACGAGAGCACTGCTACGTCTCCCTGGAATACGACAAGGAGCTGTCCGGATATCTGGACTGGACGGGGCTGGAAGACCGCGACCGTGTCATCCAGTACCCATTCACAGAGCATGTCGTTGTTGAGAAGACGGAAGAAGAGCTCGCTCGGATTGCAGAGCGCAAGAAAGAAAGCGGCCGACGGCTTCAGGAGCAAGCGGCCAAGATGCGGTTGGAGAAGCTGGTGAAAAAGGAGCAGGAGCTCGAATACTACAAGGGGATCCAGGCGCGGTTTGCCAACGAGACGAAGAAGGAGATCAGACGACTGCTGGATGCAGAAGACATGAAGGACGAAGCAGCGCTGGAACGAACGATACGAGAGCTAGAGAAGTCCGTCAAGAAGTCACGCAACAAGGACCTGGGCAACGAGGAGAACGGCGATGCGATGGAAGAAGCGTCGTTCCCTTTGCTAGATGTGCCGGACGAAGAGCTGGATGAGGCCGGGCTCAAGGAGAAGCGACACCAGAAGCTGATGAAGTCGAATGTGGAAGCACGACAGCGTGCAAAGGCCGAGAAGGAGAGGGAGAAGGCCCGGATAGCAGAGGAGCAGCGGCTGGACGATGAGAAGCGAGAGAACGAATTCGACACCTGGATTGAAGAGCGCAGACAAGCTCGTGAGGTACGCCTATATCCCCCCCTAATTCTTCTACAGATCTACCTGATACTAACGTGAGATGTCTAGACGATACTGCGCAAGATCAAGCAGCGAGACAGACTCAAAGCCGACGCAGGCAACCGCAAGTCTCTCGCAAGCCAGATCCGTATGCGTACGCTCGCCAACCTCGCCTCTGACGGCCCTAAAAAGCGTCGTCGAGGCGGCGAGGACGACACCTTTGGTGCCAACGACGACGACTGGGGCGTCTACCGCACCGTCGCCACGGGAGACGCAAGCGACGACGAGGAAGAAGAAGACATAGATGGCATGCTGAAATCCGTCGAGGCCCAACTACTCCAGTACGACCCCGAGTTCACTGAGAACCACACGCTCGAGGCCCAGACGGATTGGACCAAGAGCATGATCCACATGTTCCTTCGCGGGCCGTGGCCGTTTGACGCCGAGAGCCAGCGTGAAGCACACCAGCTGCATCTCAACGTGGAGCGCATACGGGTTCCCGAGGTGATTTTCCAACCCTCGATAGCGGGCATTGACCAGGCGGGACTGGTCGAGATAGCGGCGGACGTGGTGTTGCAGCGTTTTCCGGCGGGCGAGGACCAGCAGCGGCTGCTGAAGGATGTGTTTCTGACAGGCGGGAATACGATGTTTGAAGGGTTTGAAGAGCGGTTCCGGAGGGAGTATAGAAGTGTGCTGCCTACGGGGTTGGAGTGTAGCGTGCGAAGGGCTGGTGATAGGGTGCTTGATGCGTGGAAAGGGGCGGCCGCCTGGGCGGGCAGCGGTGGACTGCGGACTGCGTCTGTCTCGAGACAGGAGTATCTTGAGAAAGGAGGCGAGTATCTCAAGGTGAGTCTTTAACATTCTCTTTTATGGTCGTTTTGATGTTCATTCGACATGGCTGACTTGACTGTTGGGATAGGAGCATAACTTGGGCAACGCTACGTAGGCAGAGGACTACATATATCTACAAGCAGAGATAAGAGTGTATGAAATGAAGAACCGTCGGCGCTTTTATGCCAAAAAAAAAGATATAACTAACGTATACAAGTGAAACGCAAGAGTTAAGTAGATACAAGAACGAGAAAGAAGCATGACGACCAGACCCAGACTCCAGAACACCATCCCCCCCTAGGCCCCCTAGGCCTGCCCATCCGCAACATTCTTTATCAATAATCAATGCAGTAGAAGCAGCAGTAGTAGAGTAGCAGTATATCAGCTCGTCAGGAGCCAGACGAAAAGCATACGCAGATAACCTAGCCGTGAGAAGGAGAGTAAAAAGAGAAAACAAAAATGGACGAAAAAAAAGGGGGGGGAAGAAACACAATCATACGAGTTCAAAAGACATGTCAAAGCAAGAGCCGAATCCGTCTCCAACACCGACGCGCGTAGTAGCAGTAGAGATATAGAGTGAGATTGAAAAAGGAAAAAGCGAGGGACGACAGGAGGGAAGAAAATGGGGGGGAAAGAAGGAGAGTATAAAGAGACAATGGGGGTGGGTTTTTTTTGTTTCTAGATCTGTTCTGCTTTGGACTGTTCTCCGGCCTGGGAGTCGTCCTGGCCGTCCTGTCTGGTGCGCTTGGAGAAGTTACCGCCCTGGCCCAAGAAGGCTGCCTCTTCGTGCTGGTGCTTTCTCATGCCTAGCCCGGCGACAGCAATGCGGTTGAGAGCGTTGAGTTCAGACTGCGAGCTGTGTTGGCCAGCACCGGCCTGGCCTCCGGCACCGCCTTGCTGGTGGCCCTGCTGGCCCTGCTGTTGGCCCTGCTGTTGACCGGCCTGCTGCTGACCCTGTTGGCCCTGCTGTGCCTGGCCCTGCTGGCCCTGCTGACCCTGCTGTTGGCCGCCGGAGGTGACGATGGCGGGCTCTGGACGGGGCTGGCTGAGGTCGATGTTTCCCGGCAGCTCGGGGACCTCGTTCTGGGAGTCGATGAGTCGCGACTGCAGGCTGATGATGTATTCGCGGAGCTGGTAGTTTTCCGCCTGGATGGCCTTGTAGTTGTCCAGCAACATTTCGTATTCCTTGACCTGCTCCTCGAGTTTACGGATGTAGCCTTCCTTGCGCTGACGGAAAGCGCGCTAACAAACGCGTTAGTACCAACCATAACAAAACAGAAAATAACAATAAATAGAATAGAAATAGTAAAAAAAAAAAAAAAAATTACGAGGATGAGCCTACCTGGGCAGCACGGTTCTGAGCAGCTCGCTTGGAAGACGAGAGCTCGCGTTTACCGTAGACCTTGCGCGGTTCGCCTGTCTGGTCGAGTCCCGGAGGAGCACCGGTCATGTCCTGCTGGCCGACGGGGACCTGAGCCTGTGGGGGCTGGGCGAGCATGGCGGCCGTGGTGTGCACCTGGGGAGCAGCAGTCATGCCCGAGATGGCGGGATCGATGATATGGTCTCTCTGCCCGCCGGCGCCGGCAGCAGCAGCGGCGGCCTGGAGATGCGCGGGGACACCTGGCTGCGGGCGCGGCGGCGGGGGAGCCGTGTGAGATGCGTTCGTTAGATGGGCGGCAAGCAGCTGCTCGCGAAGAACTACAACGACGTCCGTCAGCATCTGTCTCTGCATCTTGGGTGCTGCTTGTCTGGGTGGCCTACCTTGCTCTGCTTGGTCCTGGAGACGGGGGAGGGCAACGGCAGACCGCGAAGCGCGTCCACCGCCCGGCTGGTTAGCAAAGCTGTCCATGAGAAGAAGAAACGGGAGAAGTCGACGACGCGATCAACGCAAGCAACAGGAGACTAAGGGCGGGAGTCAAGCTGGCACACCCGACAGGGCGTCGGCCAGGACAGTTTGGTGTTGTAGATGTAGATGTAGATGTAGATGTAGATGCAGGGCAGGATGGAGATCGCGGTGGCCACCCGCGACAGGCGCAGGCCGGCGCAAGGACGAGGGAGCGGCGAGCAGTGAATATGAGGGCATGGCACTAGGGCGTCGTCGCTACGGGCAGCGGAGAGGAGGTAGAGGGAGCAGATGTACCGTGATGTATGGCGAGCTTACCTGGACCGACTGCGGCGCCTGGTGCGACTTGCTGGGGTCCTGGGAGAGGCCCGGATGGGGCGCGAGCTGCTGCTGGCCCTGCTGGCCCTGCTGCTGGTGCGGCTGCTGCTGCTGCATCGTCGACATCGCGGGCGTCGGAGTCTGGCGAAGCTGGCGCTGGCGCTGGGAGCTGGGGAGCTGGCGAGCTTGTCTGCTGTCCGGCTTGCTGGCTGGCGATGGAGGTTTAGGTAAAAAGGCCGGCGTTTCTTTTTTGGCCGTCGCGGTGAGTCAGGATGTAGTCAGCGTTCGCGCGTCGTCTTTTTCCCGCTTTGGGCTTTTTGGGGGGGGAAAGTCGAGAGAGAGAGAGAGCAGAAAAGGGCAAAAAGGCGGTGATGAGTAAGAAAAGCGAGAGAGAAAGGAGAGAGAAAAGGGAAAAGGCGGCGAGGGCGGGCAGTATTAATAAGCGGGGAGATGGTCACATGATAAGATGACAAGTGATGACTAAGAAGATGACAGATAGGTGACTAAGGTGGTGACTAAGGTGAAGATGACTAAGATTACGTCATTGCATGCACACGGCTTGCTGGACACCAAGTATCTACAGAGAGGACTTAGAAGTAGAGTAGAGTAGAGTAGAGAGTAGGAGTGGTTGGATACAGAGAGATCTGTCTAATAGGTCATCTCGCTCGCAGCAGACCGCAGCTCCCGCTCAAACTCGGTGCCCAGCACCCGGGTCTGCGGCGACTCGGCCCCCCGCTTGCGCTTCTTCTCCTTGGCTATCCTCGCCCGCTCAAAGTCGATGAACATCACCCGCTTGTTCTCCCGGCTCCAGAACATGTTGCCGATGTGCGTGTCGCAGTGCAGGGTGAGCTGCCGGTGGATCGCCTGCAGCGCCTCGCGGGCCGACGGTATAAACAGGCTCACACGGTTCTTCCCCTGCGCGTGCGAGACGATGGACTTTCCGACGTGGCTCAGGAACAGCAGGTGCACCACCGGGAAGATGCCGTCGTACCACAGAGGCCCGCTGGCGATGTCGATGCTCCCCAGGCACACCGGAACATACTCGCCCTGGATCTCGTACAGCTGCTGGTAGATGTTCTCCTCGTGGATGGCGCGCCTGACCGTCTCAATGGGCATCGCCTTGGCCACAAGGGTGTACCCATACGGGAAAGTAGTGACCCAGAACAGCGCTCCGGAGGTTCCATGGCGGTGCATCGACTCGCAGCCCCAGGGACCCCTTGGCCCTTCTATCTGCTCCCGGACCAGCTTGCGGAACTGGAAGTCATCAATGGCATGTCGAGGGCCGCTGCCATGAATCGCCACGTTGGGACACTTTGGATCAAGGGGGCCCCGGGTCCGCAGTCCTGCAAGGCATTTCTGAGTGCACCACGGGTTGATAGGACCGGTGTTGTACACATACCGCTTTCTCTCCGTCGGGGGAGGAGGGCGAGCCCGAGAAGATACAACCACTTGAGCTTTTTTCGACAAAGACCGGGGCCGTCTTGGGGTTGGGCTGTTGGGATCATTGCCCCAGTTCCCACTCTCGTCGTCCCCGTCGCTGGACTCACGGTTTGGCTCTTCAGGCTCTCGGCATGAGGAGGCTGCTGCGGCTGCGGCTGCTGCTGCTGCTGCTGCTGCCGCCCGGCGTTTCGATCTTGTCCTGACAGGCGACATCCGCATATACTCATCTCTGCTCGACTGCGGTGGCTTGTAGCCGGAAGAAGGCAGTTTCTCCGGCGGGCTGCTGCTATCTAGCCCGAAGACAACGTCGTGGTTGAACTCAATCTCCCACTTCTTCAGCCGCTCCTCCGTGTCGGCCGGCCAGTTCTGACCGTGCGGAGGAGACCTCAGGGCCCGGAGTGTGAAGGCGAGAACCTGTCCGATTGCCGTGAGATGTAACCTATTATGACCACCCGAGTTACCGGTAGAGCTGTCCGAGTCGCTGGTCTCGCCATCCGAATCGCCAGTCCAGCCGGTGCTCTCTCCCACATCTTCATTGGGTGTAGAGCGATAGTAGTACACAGTAGCAGGGTCGTTGGGGTCTATACGGAGAAATATAAACAGTTCACCAGTAGAGACATACCCAAACTCAATCCTGGCCTGGATCATATAGGAAAACGTCTGCGTGATGACCGCAGCCACCATGCGGCGATTACGCTTGGCTTGGTCATCGTTATCACCGCTTATAACCACCTCGTCGACCTCGATATCCAGGAGTCCGTCCAGCGCGCTATCCATGACCAGCTTGTGAGGTGGCTTGTATTCAATGATAAAAGCCGGCACCATCTTATCATTGCCTGAATTGTAAACGCAGAACTGATCAGCTCGAGGGCGTGAGGATCCCGTCTGCACTGTGGGCGGGTCAGCTGAGTCAGTTTGCTTCCGCCGTTTCTGCACCGGAGACTGTGGTGGTAATGGTAAACCAGCATTTACATCTTCATCCGATTCCGGGTTGATAGTGTTGCCATGGTTTTCAAATGTAACGCTCCCCATGAGATTGAATGTCTTACGCAGCTTGGGATCCGCGTAAAGAGTCTGGATGATAAATGCAACCCGATCCTCAACCGTATACCGCTCATAATAGCCAAGGTCTAGCTCAGACCTAAGCATTCTCAGTGATATATATTTGCCTTCTTGCTCTACTCCATTTGCAGAGGCAAAATGGGGCTGAGAGACAAAGTCGGACTCGAAAAGTAACTCCCACACCTTTGCTTGCTCCTGAGGGAAGGTTCTCCATTCACGGATGTATCTGGGGCGTAGTTTGGATTTTGCATTCTCAACGGGCCCCTTGGTTCCCTTCTTATGGTCGACCCGTGAAGAGAAGCCAACAGATAGGTAGGCATGGCAGGCATCCAGGTATTCAGGCAGAGTCGTTGGTTTTACCTGTTGCTTCAATGCCTTGAGCTCCTTTTGTTGTTCCTTTATTTCCTCTGAACGCTGTCGTCTATCTCCTTCAAGCCTACGATTCTCTTCTTCATAACGGAGTCTCTCTTCTTCGTGACGACGTCTCTCCTCTTCGTTGGCACGTTTCAACCTCTCCAGCTCCTGGAGAAGCTGCTCCTCTCGAGACGACGCGGGTAGGTCACTAGACATGGCTATTCAGCAGGTCTTCGGCCGCTATTCCATTGTGATGATATCAAATATGCCGCTGGGCCAAACAATTGAGCCCAGAGTCAGGATGAAGTTATATAGTCAAGAGTTATCCCTGTCTCTTCAGCAGGCAGCAGCCGGATAATCGTTAGTCCACCAACGTTTGCAGAGATGCAGGTTTCCAATAGACAGGTTAACTAACCGCCTCAGCAGCTAACTGACGCCTGATCGCTCGGTCATGGCTTGAATGGATCAATCAAACGCGATGCTCGTCTCTCGACACGAAGACATCAAATATTGAAAGTTCGATGGAGTCGCGAGGTCAAGGAGCAAGATCCACTCCGAACTGATTACTAACTACGTTTAACCTCAAAATAGGCACCAAACTCAATTCTCCATATCAACAAAACGCTGGCTACTGACAGGCATATAGTTAAGACGACAGGATGAAGGACAGTAGATAGTAAATGGTAGGTAGCGGGCAAATAGACATAATTTGTAGAGACGAAAATGGTAGACGGTACTCCGTAGAATGTAGATAGCAACTATTGACTCTTCTTGGTTTCCTTGGGTTCCTTGGTCTCCTTCTGGGCGCCAGCCTGGATAATAGCAGCCCCGATCCTGGCGGACTCCTTCCACCCCTGCTGCCGCGCCCAAAAGAGCTCAGATGGAGTTGCATCTGGCATGCTGAACTTGCGTGCATCTTCTTCGAGCGATGAGCGGGTGATCTGCCCGATCTCCTCTTCCACATAGTCGCTGCCAAGCTCATCGAAATCGCCAACTGCTTCACCTACACCAGCACTAGCTTGAACTTCGGCAAGCATCTCTTCTCCCCGACGCTGGTAGTGGTTCTCATCGGTATCGTTGATGTTTGCATGTCCACTGCTGGCGCGGTCAAGGTAACCCTTTCGCATGAGGTAGCGTTCCGCTCGGTCGCGGCGGGTGTCCAAAGTCTCCAGCTTGGACATGGCCACCTGGACTGCCAGGCGGGCTAGCAGGTAGATGTGCTCAGAGAAAAATATGGTCAGCAGCAATAGCCAGCCCTTGATGTCATCGTGAGGTTCATCGTTGCCGGCACCAGCTACAGATGAAAACATATACACTAGTGCTGCGCTCGTCAGACTGCCCATCCACGACAGGAAGCTGAGTGAGTCCAACCACGGACCGATGGAGTCAGCACGAAAGGGCGTGGGACGCTTGTACTCGATGCAGATCTTGAAAAAGTCCGATCGCAGTTCGACCCAGTTGTTGACCAAGAAGGAGACCGGGACCAGAGACCAGACGGGGGAGAAGAGAGCCAGGTATCCAAACTGCACACACATCTCGCGCAGGTCATCGGTCACATCGTAGTCACTCAGTTCAGATTCATTTCGTACCCGCTTGAGGAATTCGGCTTCTTCTGGTACATCATCCAACAAAAGGTCGGTAGAAGATGACGACGCGGACTTGCTGTCCTCTTTATTCTTCCTTGCCTCGGACATCTCCTCATATTTTCGGAAGAACTTGCGCTTGACATAGGGGACTACCGTCTCCAGTGCAAAATTCACGATCTGAGCCGTCACCGTAAAGTAGATTACCTGGTTGCGCAGTCGCGCTCTGTTGATGCGGAACTCTTTGATCTCTGTAGCTGCAGACGCTGTCGTTGCGCCCTTCTCATTGGGCTGGAAGGGCTTGACGGCAAGGTGGAAGACATCCAGGTACGGCACTATAGTTGGTGCAAAAGGGACATACACGAACGCTGTCAGAAAGATAGGTAGATAAGAAGTGACAAAGTTAAGTATGAAAACTTTGCGTGTCAGAGCAATATCATGGCTGTCCTGCGTCTCATAGTTCTCATACTCTGTCATTTGGGTCGCGACCTTCGTCAGTATAGCGCTGATAGTCGGCACACAGAGTGATAGTATGATTGTAGGTACGAATGCCTGCTGCTTATTAGCCGTTTGGTATAAAAACCGAGTAAGAGGTAAGGATTGACAAACCAGGTATGTCCGGAAAGGGCCAGAGTAGATCTCGTTGATAAAGACTTCGATAGCAAAACATGTTGCAATTAAAGTTCCCAATGCTACAACCACTGCCATAGTAAATGGAATCACCAGCAACTGTCTAACTAGCCGCTTGGAGGCCGGAAACACGTAGACTGTCTCACCCGTAATCGGGTCAATGATCTCCTTCTCATGCTTATACTCCTTTCTCCGAGCCTTAATCTCGGACACTCCCTTTACCTGCCACCTCAGCCGCAGATCGGTCTCCTGTCTCTTCCAAAACTCTACAAACACAAGACAGAAGAGCGAGTTCAAAACAGCATAAAAGATCGAAAAATGACCGAGGAACACCCAGCAGAACAGGCCTAGGCCCGCGGGGACCATGAGGAAACGGAAATACGTTTGCAGGAAAGTAAAGTAGAATGCTACTTTCTCTCCCAGCTTCACTCTTATCTGCTCTAGATCGTCGTTGTCCAAAAGAGTCTTACGGCTCCAGGACTTGATCCACTCGCTGTTCATGTCGTGGTCATGTAGAGGGAATATCGACTTGACATTCTTCCAATATCCATACCCGGGGGTAATATCTGCCCCACCATCTGCGCGTGGGAGAGTCATCATATCATATATTGTGCGGAGACGCTCCGCCTCCGTCCATGGCACCCCCTGGGTATCGTTGATATCCTTGGTGGGCTGTGAGGTACGCACACCATACAGCCAGTCCTTGATCCTAATATCCATGAGCTATACACCCGTATATCAGCCATAGAAATTGTATATACCTTGTTCTATATGCCATTGCTTTCAACTTATCCTCCCTAGGCCGGACGAGGACGACAAGACACTGACCCTTGCCAGGGCGCACGGCAGCCTCCAGCCCGACACTATACAAGGTCCGAAGCAATCTCTGCAGCTCTCTGCTAGCATCTACATCAATGGCTCGTCAGTACACATTATTCCGGTCAGTTAATCGGATATACCCAAGATAAAGGACGGGGTCGGGATGCTAAAGGGGGAGGGGAGCTCACCCTGGTCCTCGAAGGAGTAGAGGATCACATACTCCACACCAAAATTCTTAGCCAGGGTGTGCCCTGGTATATATTTCGTTCCCAGGTCCTGAGCCATGGTGACAAGATTCAATGCGATGTCGGGCTGCAAGTCAGTTCATGACATGCGGGGAGAGAAGAAGAAGAAGCGAACGACGGAGCAGAGCAGGAAGAACAGGTCGAAGTCGATGTTCTGTGTTTGTTTATGTAAGACGCTGCTCTGACGTCATTGGTGGGGGGATTTACATATAAAAGGCGAAGAGACGGGAAGAGGAAGAAGCCCCTTTATATAGGTGCATATCATTGGGGTCTCAAATGCCAGCGACAGACGCTTATGCAAGATGAGATCTATAGGTCGTGCTGTATAGGTTGATATTTTGCATACGTTGGCTAAATACAATGCACGAAATTGTATTGACTCCCCTGAAATCCTATGGGCATACGGAGTACTACGTATTAAAGTCAATAGCTAGAATGAGACTGGTTTTCACGCCTGTGTTCGCTATGCTGGAAGTAACATGATATGTCCACAACCTGGACTCCTCCCCATGGAATGGGAAAGGGTGGTTAACTGCCCTTTCTTAACCGATTTGTGCTTTGGAAAAGTCCATCTCTGTATTAAATAGTTAGTATAGGTCCTGGCAAGTAAGTATTTAACAGCACAATGGCTTACCTGGGTGCTGTTCCTGGAACTTCTTGAGCATCTCAGCCTTCTTCTGCTCATCACTAGATGGCTTTCCCATCTCCTTCTGCTGCTGATCATACATCATCTTCTCAACCATTTTTCTTGTTTCACCGTCAAGATCACTCAATTTCGAGTTCTCAGGTGTTATCTTGCTAACGTCGATCTTGGGGGCGGTAGTGACAATGTGAGGCCACCATTCCATCTTGTTCACCTTGTCTAGATGGACAGTCACTTCTTTGCCTGGAGGGCTAGAGACGGTCTCGAGGGTCCATGAGGACTCGTCGACGTGAATTGGATATGGGAAGGAGCCCTATACAAACACGGATTAACATCTGTCAATTTTCAGTGTAAGATGTGGGGGGCGCATGCAAAGATACGTGTGTACATACGTCGATGAGAGGTTCCTTGCCCTTCAACGCAACTCGGATTTTGGTCTTGGTCAGCACGACTTCCAGGTCCTTTCCGCGTATCTCAGCAGGAACTGGAATGGTAACTTCTGCCTCTGAAATCGTCTGTGTCCATTTGTACGGCAGTGTAGCCTGCTCCTTTGCTTCTTTTTCCTTGTGTTCACGGTCGAGACGCTCTCGCTCGGCCCGTGAGGGTTCGGCTTCTGTTTCTGGAGGCGACGGCGACATTGTAATCATCCCGCTCTCTCGGACCTTGTCCCTATCTTACACACAGCCTCAATATCCAAAGGTGTCTTTTCTTCTAGTCTGTTCTTTTCGTGTTGCGGGGAGCTTTTTTTTTTTTTGATAGCTTGCGGGGCGCCATGCTTTTGGTTACATAAGCAGCACTAACTAGTTAGCGTTGGAGTGACTTTAAGTTTGCTCGGCGCCGGACTTTGATATCTTTTGACAAGAGGGAAAACCGTGTGAAGGAATCTATTATCAACGACAAGGACATGCTAGCTATTAATACAAGAAACAAAAATGAACTCCTGCTTTGCCTTGAGGTTCAGATCGATTTTTTTTTCTGGCTTTCCATCAATTTGCTTGGCAAAAAAAAAAAAGAAAACATCCAAAGGAGGGCACAGCAAATCAGGAACATCAGTGAGGAATGAAACATTTGATATCCCAGCGCCCAAGTCCACCAAGTCGGATCATAAAATGAAATTCACAGCATTTTGAACAGTATCAAATGAGTACCGGGCCGGAAGTGAATTAAAGAAATAGAAAAGATTTCTCAAGTAAAATGTGGGTAACCTTGCCTGCTTAGCGTTCACATAAGTGGATGTGCTTGACATAAACCTGCTTCATCATGGACTTGGAGTGCCCTCTGCATATCGAGGTGCATCGTCCATGGCGCCAGGTGTAGCAGGGAATCCCATCCCTATTGCAGGAGTTGGTGCGTCATATGGTCGATGATCACCGGCAGGCGTAGGCGCATCATACGCATCACCATCCATACGTTTCCCAGCAAACGTTGAAGCACCAGGTGTAGGTGCATTATCCGGCCATGCACGAGGAGTAGCAGCTGTTGCTCCAGGAGTTGGAGCACTGCCGAATGGTGCAGGAGATGGAGCTGCATAGTCACCGCCAGGAGTAGGAGCATCGAACGCTCTGCCAGCATTGGCGCTGAGATGTGAGCTGGAGCTTCCAGAGTGGCCCCAGGCAGGTGTACGGGAGCCGCTGTTTGCTGCCATTGCACCCGGATGACCCGGCGTTCGAGAGCCGGCCATGAAGGCGTCAAAGCCTGAGTTAGAAGAGCCTCCTGAGAACCCGGACCCAGCATCGTGAGGGGTCTTTGTTCCAGAAGTCCAGGCTGGAGTACGTCCACCAAACCCGCCGTAAGAGGTTCTGTTACCATCATAAGGGTTGGCGGTACGAGAACCTTCCGCCTTCCAAGCGGGAGTGCGAGATCCTACAGCGGCATTCCAAGCAGGGGCTAAACAAAGCAAGTTAGTTGGTGTCCTGAGGCCGTCCTTAACCAAGAATAGCGGGATACTTACTTCGAGAAGATGACGCTCGCCAGGCTGGTGTACGAGACGAATCGCCCATAGCAATCGGTGTTCTTCCTCCTTGCCATGCAGCATCTTGGGGACCAGCTCTTCCTGTCGCCATGGATTGTGGCACTCTCGGAGCACCACCCCCTCTGCCGCCAAACCGGTTGATATCTACAGGTTGCCCAGTAATCGGGCTGCGTATATGTGGGTTAGCTGAGGACAGAATAAAATAGAGAATGATTAATAATACGTACTCCTTGACAGAGAGGTTCTCCTTTTCAACGGGTACGACTTTTGAAACGGAGTGTAACTCGACTCGAGCAATGATATCCGTTGTATCCTTGACAATACCTAGTAGACCCTTGAACGGACCCCTTCGAATATGAACTGTCTTTCCAACAAGTCGGTCCCTGCCGAATGTTCGCGGTGGTGGCATTCCAGAACCGTTCATACCGTTCTTCTGCAAAGCCGGATTCATCTTTGACAGGTCTGGGGCAGACCTACCCAATTTAGAACCGCTGGTGGCCACGGTAGTAACGTTTATAGCTCTAGTGACCATTATACCAGCATTATCTCCCACAACCTTGCTAGTGCAGAAGAGGAACGCTCTGTGGATATGCAAGATGGTGCCGGTCCGTTGCTCGCCAGTCACCTCTTTCACGGTATCTCCACACTTGATTTCAGAGCCATTTCGGTCAGTGGTGACAGCATGTCGTCGGTGTTCGATCTTGCCCAAAACCCGTGATGGAAGCACAATCTGGGTTGAGCCATTCTGGTCTATGACTCGCATTGACTCTCTGTCAAGTTTCACCACACACCCAACCGTTGTTTGACTGTAATCTACTTGTTAGTGGATAAATAGTATTCTAGACTAGATATAGGAAACTTACTCGATTTGTACCAAATCATGGACATCATACTGGCCCAATTTTCCATCAACCCCAATGTCATCGGCTTCTCTCAAATCCTTGCTAAACACCGTGATCTCTTGCATCGTCATGTCTGTAAGGATGGTAACTCGGTCATCCTTGATCCGAACAACCATACCCAATTCGTCGCGATACTTGCTCCCTCCGATCACTTTGACATGATCACCTTCGCTGAATCTCTTTCGGAGACCCTTAGTCGGCACATCAATGTGCTGGCCTTGCAGTTCACCTTGCGTGACTTTGATGGTGACAATGTCGCCGCGGGTTGCTACTGTCTGCCCAACGACGCCGCGCTGTTCGCCTGCAAAGACTTCGACGGTGTCTCCAACCAGATAAGCATCCTCTTCGGTTGTATTCTTGATTGTGGCAGCCAAAGATGCAAGATCGAGATTCGAAGTTCCATCATCCGCACCACGAGCGAACTTTGTCACCTCATCAAGTTGAGGGTTAACATTTTTGGTGATGAGATGTTGAACTTTCATGTTCTTGATAAGGAAGCCATCAACATAAGTATCACCGAGATAAGACCAAGACTTGCCTCCTAAGCTAGATGTAGCAGAGAGGTACTTGGAGTGTCTCTTCTTTGCTTCTGCCTCACTGAACAAGCGTTGAGGAGGCCTGGCAATCGCACTGCTCCCTCCTCCAATCCTCTTGCGCTTGGGGTCGAGCGCAGGAGCATTGCTGTCTTCGTTGAGTCCGTACTCCAAACGAGGAACAAGTCTAACGGTAACATTAAGCCCATTTGTCTCGACTTCTTCAAGCTGGGCCAAGTCCCCTTGGTATCGTCCACGCTTGATTCGAACCCAGCCTCCCGGGGTAAGCTCCTCTGACTTTTTCACTCGGAGTAGATCAGGCATTTCCTTGACCGAGATTAAAGTCATCTTAGACCTGACGTAGATATTAGACATTCCGTCCAAGGCATCAATGATATCAGCTTGTTTCCGGGCTTCCACGTAGATGTAACCAGCCATAGTTCCACCACGCTCGAAAGCAGATATGATCTTGATAGGGTTTCGTGAACCAAGAGGCCGCTCTTCCATACGCTTGATAATGCTGAACACGATCTCCCTCTCCTTGCCTGGTCGACACTTGACACCCCATATGCTCGGGTCATCCACGCTAGGTAGGAGAAGCCTTTTGGGGACAACGACAAGGTCAGCTCCGGAGGCACGGTTTCGGCCATATCGTTCTTTCAGGGCTTGCGCCTGCTGCTCCGCATCCATCGTTGCATCCATATCACGCTTTCTATCGAGTTCACGATGGCGCCTATCGTCCGTTTCTGCGCCAGCGGGTAGGACAACCTCATCGTCATGATGGACGAAGCCGGCTTCGATTTCGTCTTCTTCATCTTCTGCTTCATCTTCGTCATCTACCTCTGCTTCTTCTTCGAAGAAAGCGCCGAGTCCATGTCTTCTGCGCTTTCGAGGGCGACCCTAGATACACTCATTAGTAGAGGGCTCAAAGGTAACCAAGAGCGTCTCAAAACTGGTGATGTAAGGCACACTTACAGTAACTGCTTCCTCGTCCTCTTCCTCCTCTTCCTCCTCTTCATCGTCATCCTCGTTATCTCCTTCGGGCTCCCCTTCATCATCGTCTTCGACACCGGCTTCATCTTCACCTCTGGCCTGTTGCGATTCATTAGTATTCAAGTCACCATTTTCGCCATCATTCATCTTTTTCACTTCATCTCCATTTTCTTCATCATCTTCTTTTTTATTTTTACCGACCTCTTGTCCATCGTCGTTATCTATGTGTTTTCCGCCGCTGCGATTATCTTGCTGGTCATCTTCAGCTTCTGGCTCAGAATCTCCAGCCGGCGCAGGATTAAAATCTTCTTCATCTTCCGAGGCAAACTGTTGTTCGTTTCCTGGATGCGACATGTTTGGTATTAATTATGCGTTGGTCGGCTGGGACGTCCAGCAGTCAAGCTAGAGTCTCGGGTGACGGGAGATATCTCGTTGATAGGATGGCCCTAATCGTCCTATTAAGGAGTACAAGTCTTTCCAGCTATCTCAAAGAACAGGTCGCAGAAAGAGTACGCTGGAGGCGGGTCCGATAGGTGTGTTTGGCTCGGAGTGTCGAGTTCTTGGTGACGGAGCTATCTCTGGAACGGTCGAAAAGAGCTCACTTTCGGCCAGCGGGTGATCTCAGAGGAGTGAAACGAGAGGAAAAGGGAGTCTTGATTAGTAGTAGGGTCAAGCAATGGCTTTATCTTGCCGAGACGTCTTCTCTGCGCAGAGTCGAAGCTCTTCGTCCGTCATCTTCATCTTCTTCGCCTTCAAAGCTTTGAAGTTCGAAAATGCGCAAAAGGGACGGTCACGTGATAGATCCTTTGCCTGCGCAGGACTCTGTTTCTCCAGTCCTTTTTTTTTTTTTTTTTTTTTTTCAAGGTACAAACTTCATCGGCAAGAAAGATAAAATATCTAATGGATGCAGCGTTTACGTGGCTCAAGTAATAGATTTATGTGAATTTGTGAATCTTTTGATTTTGATTCTACGGAATATGTAATTTGGAATATAAGGTACAGGTGGCCACGAAGGAAATTGCAGTCAGGAGTTATATCAAATGGAACAAGCGCAGATCACCGGGGGATATATGGACACAATGGAATTCATACAGGTGTATTCGACAGAACAGAAGGTAGCAAACAAGAAGCCAGCCATTATAGCTTCATACCAAAGATCTCATGCACCTTCAGAGACTGTCTCATACTCAGGTCAAGCATGATCTCCTCGCTGCCTCCGGGAATAGCATAGGCTCTGACATCACGGTAGAGCCGTTCGATCTTACCACCCTGTCCACCACGAGAGTAGCTGAGACCTCCGAAGATCTGACTGGCCTCGCGGGCGCAGAACTCGAAGGTAGTGGTTGACTGCGCTTTGAGACCAGCGATGGCTCCGCCTAGGCGAAGGGCCGCGGCGTCTTCATCCATATTTTGACACTGGAAGACGAGGTTCTCGAGCCAATTGAAGCTGGCTTCGATCTGGCGAGCCATGTGGGCGAGCTTCATACGGATGACTGGATGGTCAATGAGTCGTTTGCCAAAAGTGCGGCGCTTGTGGGCGTATTTGACGGACTCCTCGTAGCAGACTCGGGAGAAGCGGAGACACTGGATGATGATACCCATACGTTCATGGTTGAAGTTGGTCATGATGACTGAATATTGGAGTTAGCATTGACATCTTTGATACTGGGGTAAGGCATATGCACACCTTTGAAGCCCTTGTTCTCCTTTCCAATCAAATTGCCAACAGGGACCTTGACGTCTTCAAAGGTAACGTAAGTGGTACCACTACTCCAGACACCCTGGCAGTCCATCTTACGTGTGCTCACACCTCCGGCGGAGCGCTCGATCAGGAGAACGCTAACACCACCCATGCCAGGGCCTCCGGTTCGCACTGCAGTAGTGAAGTAGTCACTCATGATACCGTTGGTGATCCACTTCTTCTCACCATTGACGATATAATGCTTTCCATCAGGGGTGAGCTTGGCTTCACAGGACAAGTTGGAGACATCACTTCCGGCATCAGGTTCGGTTATGGCTAGACAGATACGTTTGTCACCAGCCAGTATACCTGGAACAATACGCTCGACAAGCTCCTTGGATCCGTACTTGACGACCGGTGGACAGCCAATGCCAAATCCACCGATGAGGTTCCAGACGATACCTCCGCTGCCTGCACGAGAAAGCTCATCGGTGACAATCAGTTCGTGGAAGAGATCCCACTTTTCGGGGGAAACACTCTTAACCTGGTTCTTGACTAGATCTTTGTTGTATGATAGGCCAAGCAGACCAGCAAGGTAACCTCTCTCGCCCATTTGCTTGTAAATGCTCTCGGGAACTGCCTTGGCCTCATCCCACTCATGGCAGTAAGGCTCGATCTCGGTCTCTACCCACTGTCGCACCTCGTCACGTAGAGCAGCGTGTGATTCGTTGTAGAAGGGGGAGTAATACTAGATGCAAGCTACCTGTCAGTATCTTTTGCTATATATGTCTAGTGCAGCATAACTTACTCCGTGGTACCACGACGGGTCCGAGAAAGGAATAAGCTCTCCATAGGGGTCCAAGGCCTCTGCCGCTGGGACAGGCGAGGATTGTTCCTGTGGCTTTGGGGCCTCCTTCTTTGGGGCCGGGGTAGGGGCTGGTGCTGGTGCCGGGGCAGCCTCAGCTTTCTTAGAGTCGAGGGAGCCAATCTTCAGCTTTGGCTGGTACTTCTTCAACACGCCGGCATTGTGATACTTCCAGAACTGCTTTGAAGCATCCTTTCCTCCCATACGCTGCAAGACTATAACAGAACTGTGAGTATATATCGTCAAGGAAGAAGGCAAGAAACGATCGTACTCTTTTTACCGCCTATAGTAAGGTTAGCTTCGTTTCTCAACGCTGACGTATATGCTGTTTATCACTAACCTGGGTGGTCATCGAGGAACTTAGACACATCGTAGACGTCTCCGTCGATGATAATCCACACGCTATCCCCCTTGCTATGCGACGCAACGTCGTCCTTGGAATAAACGCCAGACATGATTGTAACCCAAAAAAAAAAAAAAAAAATGAAGGATAGTATATATCAAACAGACAAGACGAGATGGTCAAGAAAAGGGAGGCAACGCCGGCTATATATTATGGAAGATATATGTGCAAAGAGGGACCCGCCGAATCAGAGGCAACGTATAACTAACAACGATGGAGGCAGAAGAGAAGAAAAGGACAAAGGTCCGGGGAACCCGGGGCTCCTAAAAAGCAGCTCACAGGAAGAAAAGCTGGAGGATAGCGATGATTAACGGCAGCGGGTTAAGCCTAGGTACAATCACAAGCCATCTCCCTTCCATACAAAATAATACAACAGCGCAGGCGAGGACAGAAAGACGAAAAGGCGCTGCCGTCACATGCAAACATGAGCTGCGCTTAGCTATGACGTTTTAGCCACTTGATGCTCCCTTTTTAGCTCAAGGTGTTATTTCGATAAAATAATCGATCTCTGCACACCACCATGTAACTAGATGATAAGAAAAGAGACAGAGGATCAACTGCTCGGCATTCACCTTGTTGTCATCTCTGCTCTGCCTCCCCATCTTTTCCTTTGTCTTCATCTTCATCTTCATTATTATCATCGCCGTCTTCCCGTCATCTTCTGCTTCGGCCTTTTCTTCGGCCTTTCCGCTCGGCGAGCCGCAGCAGCCATGACTAAGCGTGATCACGGGGTCAGATACCTCGGCTCAAGTTGGCGCGTCTTTTTTTCTTTTTTCTACTTCTTTTTTTCAGGCTGTCAAAAGGAGATACAAGGCCGATAAACAGTACGAGTTCATTGTACAACAGTTTAGATTAAGATGGTCGAATATGGGCTAGAGTACAGGACATGGTTGTGTCTAGGGATACAACCCGGTGTATGCTATGCACAAGGAGCCAAGGGAAATCGAGAAAGTGTAGAAAAATGTGGAAAACAAGGGAGAGGCTGCAGCTTTAAAGCTCTTCATCCTCACCTTCGGTTTCATATGTAAAGTCGTCCGGCACCGGAGCTTCTTCAACCCCTTCTTCGTCCTCATCAACAGCGGTAAGGACACCTGCAGCGGCTGCAGCGCCGCTACTAGCGCCTGGACGGGCAGGAGTGGATGGAGCGGCCGCGGAGGCGGCCTGAGCAGCTCCCTGGAGAGCAGCGTTAAGGCGGCTCTGCACAGTGTTGGCCTGGCTGCTTCCAGCCGCGGCGGTGGCAGCTGGCTTCGTCTCCTTGCTGGCACTCAACTCAATGATATCGCGTGGATCAGAGGGTTTCTTGTCAAGAAGAACGACAACTCCTCCAGTGGCCTGTAAAGTCAAAAAGTTAGCAGTTTGTTTGTAATCTTAATATCTTCAGAAAGCGGGTCCATTTACCTTCTTGACAGGCTCATATCTCTGGTCGGGGAAAGAGATATACTTCACTTGGGCGGGAAGAACTCGCGACAAGTTGGATATCTCGTAGCCAACCTTCTCCTTCTCAGGCTTCCGCTTGGGTTCGGCAGCTGCCTCCTTGTCACCACTGGCCTTTGCTTCTTCCGCCTTGGGGGCTTCATCGACATCCATTTTCTCCGGAAGCTGTTGGGCGGCAGACTTTGGAGTGGTTGGTGTTTGTTCAATATCAATGCTTCCACTCCGTTGCTTCTCCCTTTTTTGTGCTCGTCGCTTCGCCTGCGCAGTGGTAGACAAAACTGCAGTCTTGATCTTCTCCGGGGCCTCATCTGCCTTTACCTGCTGTTCTGGGGGGTAGTCAAAAAGGCTTGGGCGAGTATTGCTGTGGAATTTGAAGTCCGGAACTTCCAGTTTCTGGTCCACGCCAATAACAGCAGTAGGTGTGAAGCTGAGAGACAAGAAATGGGTCAATGGGAACCAGTACCAATATTGTGTGAAGACAGCCATTCCCACAATTCCGGGCATGTTGAGGTTTCCGGACTGGGTCTGTAAGCTAATAGTACAGTTCCGACCACCAGCGTCAATGATTCCGAGAGCAAGAGCGCAGCCGAACTTGGCCATGGCATCTTCATGACGGTCGGCAATCACCTTTTGCATTGCCGTGCGGATGGTGCCAACCTTGGGATTCATTGCCTCGTTTTGCTGGACAAGAACCATGGAGAGAGCAATCAGTGCACCCTGGCGGACGAAGTCAGTCGGGTCCTTCAACATAGGCTCCAGAAGATCTATAGCCTCATCTAGACCAGTTCCGGCGCATGAGATGCCGAGAGCCATAGCAGCACCGTATCGGACATGAGGGTTGTAAGATTCGGAGAGAAGCTCAACCATCCGAGGAACGCTCTGGTGTTTGCGGAACAGAATGAATCCTAAGCTCATGACTGCAGCGCGGCGGACGTCGTCGCTAACATCACTAACAGCAACGTGCAGGAGCT